GCCTTCCTTCGCCGCTAGCAACAGAAACTTAGCTATTTCTTTATGAGCGAGGGGAGAAAAATCCATCTTCTGGAGGATAGATTTAACAGGGGCCGTTTCTAACAGGCGAAACGCGTTGAGGTCGTCTCCCTTGACCAGCGCGACCTGGGCAGGACCATTCTCGGCCTCTTCCCCGGCGACCGCTTCGCCAGTCACCATCATTGCAACACCTCGATCATGCATAGGGAAAGGTTCCTCCCTCACATCCCTGGGAGGGAGAATAAGCTCGCCATTGGCGATCCTTCTGTGGAAAACATTCCGCAAGGCCCAACAATCATAGGTTGGATGACGAGTATGCCGATGATACATGCAGTACTTGGGATTGGCCACTTCTTCTGGAGCGGGTCGCGGGCAATCTCGGGCAATTTGATATCTCCACGTTGGATCCATTTCTTGAGGATGGTTTCTACTTCTTCTGGAGTGCATGGGAACGGGGGAGGCACTTCGTCCGGATTCTTTGCTCGAGAAGCGTGGGCTGGCCTCATATTCCTTTTATTGGGAGGCGCGTCTGCGGCTGAAACTTGGGGTCTACGCCTGCCCCGATATTCTTCTTGCATGGCCCCTTGCGCACAAATGGCGAGATTACTAGCCAAATTCCGAGATGCTTCTATCAAATCAGCGAAAGTAAGGAGCTTCAAGTTAATAAGATGGATTCGGTAGGACCCCTGCATGCCTTGTATGCAAATTTTGGCCAGCGCCTCCTCTTTATGCGTTTCATAGCATTCCATAGCCCGATTGTGGAATCTATGTACATACGTAAGCAAGTCCTCTCCAGGCCCTGAACTTCCTTAGTCAAAGATAAAGTAGTCATTTTTTCTTTTGCCTGAAAAAACTTGGTGTGGAATAACGTAGCGAGCTGGCTCCAGGTAGTGAGCGACCCCGATTCCAGATTCACGTACCATTTGTAAGCTCTATCTGTGAGAGTCTTGGAGAACTCCCTGAGCCGCACAGTGTAGTCGTTTCCAAAAGGTCCCAAGGCTTCTATAAATCGTACCACATGTTTACGCGGATTGCCCTTTCTTCCATCGAACTAGCTGAATTTGGGGGTTACATACCCCGGAGGATACGGGAGAAGCGCGACAGACTGCGCATATGGTGGCTCGGGGGCAAATTCTTTAGTCAGAATGTTCTTTTCATTTTGCAACAGCGTCTGCAGATCTGCCATAGTCACATAAGGTGACTGCTGATTCAAACCCTGCTGGCATCCAAATTCCTCCGAACCCCTATCTCCGCGGATTACCTCCCTTCGACTGGTGCTTGGCGTGTTCAGTCTTGTTGGTGCCGTGAGTGGGGTGCTGAAGAGAGTTCGGCGAGCATGCGGTGGTGTGTCCTGTGGCTGTCTCCGTTGGCCAGTAGAATATCTCACCTCAGCTAATGATGGTTGCACACGTCGCGCGAGACTACCTGGGGTCACCTGCCCCCCAGTGAGTCCGTCAGAGAAATCACCACTTGGCCTGCACCTTGCCGATATACCCCTCTGTCGACAATCTCCCGTAGCAAGCTCACCACCTCCTTCTGAGTGCCCTCAAGCTGTTCCATTCTGTATGACAACGCATTATGGGCCTCTACCAAAGCGTCGGGATAGATGATTCTAGTTCCGGGAAAGTATGACCCCGGCATACTCACGGACCCCTCGTAGCCTTCCCCGAGGGCGGGACTAGTCTGAGAGGGTGGACTGATCTTTTTGAAACGACCCTAAATTGATACCATTTTTTTTTAAAAAATTTGGCACGACTTCTCCTAAAAAGGGGACTACAACCACCTGCTCAAAAAAAAAAACGCAATGGCCCTTCCTGACCTTTCAAAACACCTCCAACCTGCCCCAACACATAATACAATTAATATACTCCAACATCCCATCCATCCGTTCATTATACCTCAACATGGCTCATCTCATGGTGGAACATCTACATACCGTTTAATCCAAATTATCATAATTACAATCCCAAAATATAGTTACAATAACAAGAGTTCACAAATCTCTATACTAAATATAACAAACTAAGATTTTACAAAAATATGGGACTTAATACAAAAATAGCAAAATGAAGTCTTCTAATCCAAATTAGGCCTATGGTGGAAAGTCATCCGCCACTTTTTTCCCGTTTCCTGAAAAAAATTATTAAATAATAGGGTGAGCATAAAGCTCAGTAGGTAGCACTTAAGACACGCTTCTTGTGTCCCCGTGAATCCAAACATAGAATAGAGCAGTGAGAATGGGGATCAGGCCATGTAAGGAAACCACAATATAATAATCAATCTCCACATAAGTAACATAATGCAATGGGAATGCAATGCATGCCAATGTCGCTCCCTGTTTTCAAAATCAAAACCATCACTTGTAAACTGTTAATATAACGCGCCCTTTGGTGATCCCGCAGCGACACGAGAGAAGGATTGGCTAGTGTCCCTGACCCTTGGTATCCTTGCGGCGTCATTATGGGGCCCAGCTAGCTCAACCACACTAAGGCAATCTCCCTAGTTCCCTCTAGGCTATATTAACCTTCCGGCCCTTTGGTACCCCCGCGGCGACCGGGTTTTCACAAAACCGATTCATTAAAATACTTTCCCAAAATTTTCTTTTTCTTTTCAAAACGATTTCTTCCTTTTCATGCCCAATGCCAGTGCATGAATGCATCAATGCTATGTCCATGCTCATAATCCCATGACTAGTTCAAATGTAACTAACAAGGCATGGTTCACAAAAATTCCCAAAGGATTTACCACATAACTGCATATAATAAGATTCTAACATTTTTGGCATATGAAAATCAACACATAAACATGCTCTTTACATAAAACATTTAATCCACATAGTTCCATGGTTATCATATAAGCATGCTTTTCATACAACATATTTAACACACATTCTCACATGTTCATATATCTCAATCAAGTCAATTTAAACTATAATTAACATAATTAAGCATTCTAAGACACAAATCAAGTAGATTAACTCACTAAAGCACAAGATTTCATGAATTAAGGGCCCCCACCTCAATTTGTGTAAAACCCTCAAAATGGGTCTCCAATTTCGAAAGCCAAGGGGATACTCAAAGCTGAAATTGTTGGTATGAACGCGTAGAGCTCGCCGTGCTCTCCGTTTTGCCTCAAACGGCACTCCAATCCACCAAGTATTGAGTGAGATACCCTCATTCAAAGATTGAAAGAGAAAAGAAAAAGAAAAAGCACAAGAAGAGAGTAAGAGAGAGATTCAGCGGGGAGAGAGAATGAGGGTTGGAAATGTGGTCTCTAGATCACTCTTGATATAGTGATGGGTCCCACCACTTTTAAATTTCTTTTCCCTTTTCATTTTCTTCCATTTTACACCTCACACATATAAATGCACCACATACAAATACCACTTAATCCACATAAATTAAAATACACAAAGTGCAATGGACCCAACTAAAAACCTGTACACAAAACGTGAAAAGACCGAAATACCCTTGCATCAACGAATTACCGGAAAAATGAAAAATGTAGAAAATTAGAAACGTCACACTCTTGCACGCTAATCTCACGTATGCTTGACATCTGTGAAGCGCTCCCTCCCACTGTGGTCGCCAAATTGTTGAAGGTAGACCTTAGTAGGATGGGGAGATCGTTCCACGTAAGCCAAGAGATCTGAGATCAGCATCCAAGTGGAGATCTAAGCAACACAAGGGACTCTTCGATAGTGAAGATTAAGAAAGGGAAGGCCGATCTCGGTATCCAACGAGCTCTAGCTTGATTGTTCAAAGTTTTAGAGTGGTGGTTGTTGCCTTCTTAAAAGCTGATTAATGCTCTTATTTATAGTGCTTACTTCCTCGGATAATGTCCCTTGGTCTTTTGGGCGAGCCCGACTTTACCCTAGGGTTTAAGGGTCTCCCCCTCTAGACAGATGGGACATTGACGGATGGACCGCGGTGCTTTGCCCCCCGGTCCAAAGGGGTAATGGCGCTCTTTAATTAATGCAAATCTTGTTAAATGTCTTTCGTAATTAATACTCTCTTTATTACCCGTAGCTCAAGCTCGAGTATCGGATATCCTTTCCCCCTTGCATTGGCCTCGGACCGAGGTGGTGCCTTGGATCTCAGCCACCTGTCCACATACCCTCAAATTCCCGAACTCTGTATAGGAATGGGCCTTCTCCGAGATTCTGCCTTCTTAACCTCTCGAGGCCACATTCCAACAACATCTCGAGGTCCCTCTATCCGTAAAGGGAGGGGTTCACAGAGCAGGAAGCTTGAGGTCGCTCCGGCGGGGAGTGACTCCGGGAGAGCAGGAATCGTCGAGGTCGCTTTAGCAGGGAGTGACCTCGGAAGAACAGGAAGGATGGGCCCATCTGATTGGAGCAGGGCGCGTCCTTGGGCGAGGAGGGGTAGCGACCCCCTCCTCGTTCAGCGAGTCGAGTCGCGGGACAAGTAGCTCGAGGATACTTGGTCCCTTCAGGGGTGAGTCATGCCAAATAAGTATTGGCCAGGTGTGCCTATTTTCAGAGGTGGCACCACTTGGACAGCCAGCATGGCGCGATCATCAACAGCTTGTTTGTTGATTTTAAATTTGACGAACTAATTTTTCAGCAAATTGTCTTGAGCATAGTTTGTATCTCTGTCCGGCTCAATGGTACTGAACCATTTAGTAACGGGCTTGAGGGGCCTAATTGAACCACTTTAAAATGGGTATGAGATGGGTCCACTTGTTGAATTGCGATATGCCACGCCTTCAAACTTCAAATAGATATGCTTATTCATTAGGTGCTTGCCACTCTGTGGGGACCCATAATTTTTGGGCCTTAAGGAGGTTTTGTAGCCCACTTCATTCATAAACTTTCGTTTATCTGTTGAGCGTCATAGTTATCTTTTTGCATATGTTGAGCATTTTCATTTTCATAGTTATATGATCCTATTGATTCATTACTTTTATCTTGATTTCGTGCCATAGATGACATCTGGATTGACTTGATGTTTATCTGCAAGTTGTAGGTATTGGTCGCTCTTCAAGCAGCATTGACAGTTATAGGTAACACCACCATGTGTGTTGCTGCATACCGTATCTATAGATTATCACAGGGGGATTCTAAGAATTTATAGAGCTCTTTTATGTACATACTGTTCACGTGATTGAATCCTTGGTTTCTGTCTCCTATTCTGGTTGTAGGTACATCAATTCTTCTTACTAGATATAAACCTAGATCATGGTCATTGGTTGAGGACTAAGTGACAATACTGGATTACAATCTTATGACTTTTTGCCGAAGATGTAAAATATGAAACACGATGGAATCTTTATTTACTTATGGTGGGAAAAGAGTTCATTTGAAACTATGAACTAGCACATGCTTTGTTATAATTCCATTAGACAAGAAAATGTTTTCCCCGTCATTATGTTGTGATATGGTTGCGAGGATTTTGAGGCGTCACCATGTTTGAGCTGTGTCTAAAAACGAGAATTCTTCCTCTCGTGATTGTCAACCAAGTGGTCTGACCGTAGCTTCTCTAATTGCAATATTATAGTCAAAAGTTTAGATAAATCATCATAAGACACCTACATATTTAGACTTTCGGAGTTATATTAGTTGCCAGGTACATATGTTGTCTGAACCTTCAAGGTCCTACATTTTCTTGAGAATTTTAATATTATTTTATGATAAGTATGTCAACTATAATTGCTATTTTGACTGATATATTGAGTGTGAATTGAACCAGACCACTTCAATCTGAAATGGCTTGAACTTGTCTAGAAGGTTGTGAAATTTTGCAATGTGACTCTTCCATGAATTGTAATAATGGGGTTTTGACATGTGTTACATAAAGATAGGCAAAAAGTAAACACTAGAGGAAGATGAGTACCTGGACAAAATACAATAAATTAGTATCAGCAATTTGTCAATGAGTCATTATGAAATAATTCGGCGGAACAATTTCAGTGCATTCACATTGTATGTTGCCTGAAAAATTGTAGTGGAAATAGTTCATTTATTTGCATTAGTGATGAACTTAATCAATAGATTGTACATTGAATTTCTTTGTTAATTATTCAAGGAACAAATAGTCTTATTCATTTTGGTTTTCATTTCTTCCTACTTGTATTGTTTTTTTTTTAATTAAATTCTTTTATGAATTCTGAATTTAGAAAGGAAAATAAAAAACAGAAACATTACGAATTTCATTTGGTTTGAAATTAGGTTAGGTTGGTGATTTCTGGATAAAAATCTTGAAATGCAAGAAATAGGGTGTGGATTGATTGCAAATGCAGAAAAGGTAGTAGACCTTGTAGGCCATGTGGTTCAAAGTTGTATTCAAGGTTATACACAAAGATGGATTGAAGGTTAAGAATAATAGTAAAATAGAGAAGCCTTTGTGGAACAAAATAGTCCCAGGGCCTAATTTCCTAGGTCAATGCATTGGGATGCTCCCTCCTTCCAATGCCTTTAGGGTGGAAAGAATTGTGTGAATTCATATGATATTATGATACTCAGGCCACCATTTTGACTTTGCACTCATCTTTTTGGGGGCCTTGGAAGATGGTTCTCAGTATCAACATCAATTATGTACTTGATGCTTGTTAATAATATGTTTAACCACTTGATTCTCCATTCCATTGTCAAAGAAGAAGGGCGCTTAAGGATGTTATAATAGTATTTATATGTGCGCGCGTGTGTGTGTGTGTATATATATATATATATATATATAAATGACATTATTGTCCTTGACTTGATTCATGAAATTCAAGTGTAAGGGGGCGTTTATGTCCTTTTCTTTTTTTCTTTTTTCTTTTTTTTTTTTTATAAAAAAAAAGCGAAGTTTAAAGATATCAGTGACTGACATTTTTCCATATAGTACAGTATATACATGTGAGAGCATCATAAACAGGATAGGCACAACTTGCATATAATGTTTATACTCCGAGTCTCCCAGAGTCCCAGGTATTGGGAAATGAGTAAAATGGCATTGATTAAATAATGCGGAAGAAAAATGACCCGTACATACATTTATAGAGGTTTTATATGATATCATATCGTCAATATCTACTGGTTAGTTTATTTTTAATTTGATAATTCGGTTTATATATATATGATATATATTTGTTTAGAAAAAGTTTTTCTTCGAAATGCATGAGTATATACAATAATATTTGTGCATGGAACATCTGTATTCAATGTGCAGATATGGGGTTTCCAACCGTGGATTTAACTATGGTATGATCGAGCTGTATTTTAGCTGTAAAAATTAGGGTTGTATATATGCAGAAAGAAAGATGAAGATGATGATGATGATGATTATGATAAATTGATAATATAGCAAGTATCTCGAGCCAACAACCCTAGGACTTTCGTGGGTCTCCATTCCTGATTTTGTTGCTTCACGTGTTAACAATCCAACCATTATTGGCTTTAGGCTTTAGGGTTAAGAAAAAGCAGAAAATTAATTTTATATTGTATATTGTATTCCAGATCAGAAGTATATGTTTCAGATACAGGGTTGTAATTATATACAACATGGTTTTGAGGAAATGGATGAGATAGATAATCTGCATGTCATTACTTCTAATGCCTTCCCAAATGTCCTTCAGAAATTAAACTAGATTACAGTACTAAAACTCTGATCAGCTTCAACTTTAATTTGAGTCCTGTTTGGTTCCTCCAATTCATTGATATAGAGTATTCATAACCTTTTTATATATGGTTTCACTTTTGTCAGACATTTGCCCTTTGTTTTCCATATCAAAAGACTCCTACAAGTACACCTGTGAGGAGCAATTATATATATATATATATATATATATATAGTTGCATCTTTATCTTCACAAAGTAAAAGCCAATGCTCAGACCCTGATCATCTCACTTGAATAAACCTAAACACAATCCCAAAAATGGAAAGTGAAGACAACAACTTGGGTCCTCAATTGATCACAAGTCATATATAGTTGTTTCACAGTCATCCAAACATTAAACTATTTCATGCAAAATTAAATCTCTTCATCTTAATATATCCTCCAATACAAATAAAATACAAAATACAGGGGGGTACCCATTAATACATAAAATTATGAATATCAGAGAAAGTAGCCATTAATTAGATTTCACATTAAAAATTCATCAAGCAGAAATATATAAAATGCTAGACAAGCTCATCATACTTTGCTTATTTTAAAATTTAACCAAATTCATGAGAGAGAGAGATACTAGTGTTTGGGAAGTAGAAAAAGGGTGGTGGTGGTGGTGGTGGTGGATGAGACAGAATTGGAATGATGAGAGAGTTTGTTGTGCAACTCAGACATCAAGGCGAGGTTCTCTTGATGGAGGAGAGTAGCTTTCATTCTCAACTTCTGGTTCTCTTGTAAAATAGACATGTTCTCCATATATAGCTTCAAGTTCTTTAGTTCTATGTCCTCCCCAACCTTCTCTTCACATGATCTTCTCTTCCTCCTGTTCATTCAACAAATTAGACACTTTCACGATGCATGCAATAGTAATAATAATACCAAACAAACAAAAGAAACAAGTATATATATATATATATATATAATGGTACCTGTTGAGCCTATGAACTCGAACCTTAGGTCGCTTTGATCCTTGTTTTCGTGTAGACGAATCGAGTGTGGGTGGTGGAAACCATTCTGTGGAGCCAGTACACATTTTTTCTGCAGTTTATTTACTTCTAAAGTTTCTTCTATTACAAATACAAGAAGAAGAAGAAGAAGAAGCAGCAAAGTGGTTTGGAATGAATGAGTGGGAAATTGAGAAGAGAGTGGAGGGTTAGGAGAATGTATAAATAGGTGGGCTTGCAATTATATCAGCATTTGTAGTATGTGTGCTGCACCCATGTGGTGCCCCTGGCTTGGTTTGTAAATCTTGAGAGAGAGATGTGGGGAGAGAGAGAGAGAGAGAGAGAGATTTCAAGAGGGGTAATGATGGCAAGAGGACTCATGATTGCAACGGGCAGCAACCCCATGTATATCCATGAAGAAAAAGCCTAAGAAGAAGGAAAGCTCCTTTAATCTATGCCCCCTTCTAGCTTTCCTCCATAACATTTTTGGCTGACTTGAGGGCTGCCATTTTCTATTTCACAACTAACAAAATGATCATTGTACCCTCTTCTATCCACCAATGGAACGTCCAAATGAGGGCTTTTTCGTCATTCCAGAAATCTTGCCGCCAAGGATTTGGCTTCATTCGGAATTACTTCCTAATTGAGAACATCCATGTATATTATAATATTTGTCAAGGTTGTACATGCAACTCAAATTATGGTAAACGAGTTTATAATGAGATATGTGCACGTGGCTCAGTGTTCTCACTCCTCATATATGCTTCTATTATTCCATTACAGTATTATTTCTGTCTTTTTTTATTTTTTATTTTTACTTTTTACTTTTTACTTTTTAATTATTTTTTTTTAGTGATACTTTGGGAATTTGGTGATTATATTCCTTCAAATGGAATGGAAAGGAAAAGCCTACAATTAGAGCACTCTCATGTAAGTACTATTCTTAAATATATATTTTTGTTTGTCCAAACACACATATGCACATGAAAACACATATGCATTAAGTATATATTCTATTTATACATATATATTTGTATTTATGTGTCATACCATAAATGAGTTTTTATTTTTTATTATTAGATATAAATCTGTATATATATTATTTGTGTGTGTTCTTCCATCTACAAACTTTGGGCATGGTTAGAAAGAAAAGGGTGGTCGATTCATTCGTTTTTGTCCATTCCTCTTTATTTAATTTAGTACCCGATTTTAGTTATGGTATCACTTTCCCTCCTACAATTTAGCTGCTTCACATGCACTTCTTCTTCCTGGGGCACTATTCACTCTGCTACATTCATACTTGACCCACCAATACCATCATTGTATTTTTATTTTTTAAATCTCATTAAATTAATTTAAATTTCAATTTCACAAAATAAAAAGATTGGAAAAATGATCATCCTTAATATATGTTTAGGTGGAAGTCACTGTTACAAAATTAAGTAGCATTGGAAACTTTTAATGTTATCGAACTGGTAGGTAAACTATATATTTGACTTTATGATTGAATTAGATTTTATTTTATTTTATTTATTTATTTATTTTTTCGGTAGAACAACATTTCCACATACAGGAAGAAATTCTTGTTATATTGTTTGTTTCTAGTTGAGATTCCGTAAACAGAGTAAATTCAGACTAGGGTACAACTGTCAATGTGAGAGTACGATTTTAAAATTAGGAATTATTGCTTAGTGCAATATTGGTTCTGAAGAAAAAAATGGGTATGTGTGTTTGAGTTCAATACCGGTCAAAGTGTGCAAAATAATAACCCAAATTAGGTTTAACCTTCGAAATTCTTGCGTATGCCGGACATAGATATTCGTTCATTTTTGCAAAATAACAACCTAGGTTTATTTACAATTTTAAGCTTATAACATCCTGCATAGGCGAGTGGATATTGGATGAGCCAGTAATATCATGCCATTAGTATACCCTAGCTAATGAACACACACAATGCAATCAAAATAGTCCTACCCGGTGGGTAGTGTAGAGCCTCATAAATACAGTAATGTGGAGTCTCGTTTTTTTTTTTTTTTTGGAAGGGGGACGGGGGAAGAGTATTTTTATAATTTTTACACTTATTATGTTGCCATAGTGTGAAAATATTTAGTCATGCAATCCTTAGACGTAATCTTATTTTTGGATGAGTCACTTAAAAATCTTTGTGTTCTTATTATGCACATTTTCTGTTTAATTTCGCAACACCATCTATACACAAAAATTGCTCTTAATCAACTAAATGGTGCATGTTTATTGACCGGCCATTACCAATGATATAGTATGGTTGGCTCACCTAATATTTTCTTATTACAAGGGATAATTGTTCCACATCGGATCTGGATGAAAAGTGAAATGGGTATAAATGGGTGGATATACAGTATTACCCAGTAACTTAAGTTTTGGGATAAATTGACAACCGTTCACCCATTACAGTTGGTTTCAGAGTCAGACCTAATTCTTGATCTGGTGTCATGCTAAACGCTCGATACGGAGGCGTCCGGGTGAGCCCACCTGGATAGGCAGGGTGGCCCAATCATAATGAGGGCGTTGCGAGTTCAGGTGGAAGAAAATATTACAAGTTGTCCCACATCAAATCTGGATGAAAAGTAAAATAGGTATAAATAGGTGAGTATGCAATACTATCCAATAATTTAAGTTTTTTAACAAATAACCTCAACTCAACTTTTGGATAATATATTTGGCATGCATCGAATTACGTGTTATATATATATATATATATATATATATATATATATATATATATATCATGTATATGAAATTTTAATGCTATATCGGATTTTGGTGTTTTAACATTATGCATATTTATTTTCTGTTCACTAATGATTGCCGGTTCCCACTTGAGAGATGGGGAAGTAGGCTTAAGTTGTCAAGTGAAGGTTTGCATGGGATAATTGAAAGTTAAGAGTTGGACTAATTAAGTTTAACAAGTGATTTCAAGAAAGTTAAGAGTTGGACAAATTAAGTTTAACAAGTGATTTGAAGATGTGACCTCAACCACATGGCCTATCTATCTCTCTTCCCATGACCATAGCGTTGTGGACCATTACAAAGGAGTCTGAGCTTTAGGTTTTGTGGACCATTACAAGGGGATGGTGACATTTTTATTCCACTCTTCTCTGATCACATCCTCTTCTACCTTTTTTATTTTTTTATCCATCCCTCATTATACATTGTTTGAACTCAAATATCTTAGAGTCAAATCTTATGTTGAGAGCCTGTAAAACCTCCTCCTCTTAGTCTCTCTGCATTTGATGGCTCTCGGTTATGATGATTAGCTATGCACATCCAAAATGTGTTAACTAAAGTTGCAAATGACCTCATAGGTTTGGCAGGATTAAAGTAAAGCTTAATCTTGTCTGCTAATTAAATGATTTTGTTTAATAAATGAATCGAGTTTAAACAAATCATAACTCAACTCGTTAAGCACGAGTTGTGAACAAATTTTTTAACCCTTGTAAACATGAATTGTTCATTAGAACTCATTCAAATTTATAATTAGTTTTTTTCTTCGTATTTGAATTTTGGGTTGAACTTGATAATGAGTTTGTGTTTTGAGTTTTAATTTAGTTAAAGGAGCCAAAGAAGTATTAACTCAATCTTGGAGAATAATAATATTAGTCTAGCTCAAACACTCAGTTAAGTTTGAGCTTGAATTTTTTTTTCCTAGTTGGTACTCACACATACATGCCTCTGCTGAGGTTCGAACCCCTGGCCTCTCTTTGAGAAGTAGGGAATTGGTACCACTAGGCCACAGACCTGTTGGTTTGAGCTAAATTTTGAACTTGAGCTTTATCAATTAAAAGTTTGGCTCAAAATTATTTTAGGTTGTATTCAACTGCATAAAATTGGAGTTGGAATTGGTGGATTGGAGAAAATTTTGATTCAATTTTCTAAATTGCTTTTCTCCAATTCTATCAATTTCAATTCCATACAACCGAATATACCTGTAGTCAAATTGCTCCAAAAGCTCAGGGCTTGTTTGGTTTGTAATTATAGAAACAGCTTTTTGTTCTCATAAAACTGATAATCGAAAATAGTACAAAAACACTCTGTTTGGTTCAATTTTTTAAAAACTCTTTTATGAAAACTCAGTTATAAAAATGTCTATTTTCAAAAAATTATAAAAGAGTTACAAACCAAGCATGTCTTAAACTTCTGAAAAAATTTGGTCCAATAACTACTATCAAGATGCTCTTCAAAGGAAATAATCGTATCAAACGGATCTCAATACTCATACGTGAGTGAGTTGAAATTCGTCTGATACGGTACAGCACGAGCGCACCACAGCATAACATCCCAATTCATAATAATGAATGAATGAATGAACAAAGGAATGATTCATAAGTACGCACCTATCTACATTATGGAGTCTAGTGTATACAATATGTGCAAGCTATAATGCCATTTTGAATTGGGGAAAGTTGAGCCAATTGAAGAGTAGCAGAGGCACTCAAAGCTTCACTTATTTCTTGTTTTACTACTGCAACTATTTACTCAATACATGAATGAGAGAAGGCACAATGGAATAGTCAACAAGGAAATCAAACTCCCCTTCCTTGTCTTGGTACTCTTGGCTTTGAGTGTACTGAAATAAATGGCACTTTCTGTCAATTGGGTTTGGTTTGTACACACTATGTGACGTATATAGTTCACATGCATCAATAATCATGATAGACCATGCATTAATCAACAGTAGGTCCAGACCCACCCATATATATATATATATATATGCTCATCTCATCTCTAATATATAGCTATATATATATATATATATACGTATTTATAAATTCAATCAATTTGGTGCAGTGTAATTGATTGCCCCCATTTGAGCACCCTCTTCAATCTTCATCATCATCTTCTCACTACTGCCCATTAAAATCTTAATCACAATCATGGCACTCGATTTTCATAGTGGAAACCCCATATCTAGCTCTATGCCGTTTTCAACTTGTGAATTATGATACAAAGCATAATTTGGAATATACGCCTACAAATACATAGATAGATACAGTATTTGGACCACCACTCCTCTGTATCTATACATACATGTATGTATGTATATATATATATATATATTTATAATATATGTACTTAATAAGATTTTAGCTTGTGGCTATCTCCTTCTGTACCCTTGGAAAATGCTGGTATGTTGCAAAGTTCAAAACCCATTAACCATAGGCTCTTCGTATACAAGTACGGTTTGGGTTGCTAGGGGCCCAAATCGTACATTTTAGATTTTGAGTTTAGGCCCATAAAAAAAGGCAAACCCCAAACTTTTGTTTCGTTTAGAGTAGCCCAGCCTTAGAAAATGTTACAGATGTTTGTGTTTCTTAAATTGGGTTTGTACAAGAGTCTGACTTCCATTTTAAAATTGGTGATATGTGATGGCTTTGGTCATATCATTCTTGTTATTTAATTGGGTAGCCCAACCCAGTCAACGATAGGCTGCCAGCCGAATAAGAAAAACCAAGGCTTCCCATTCACAATTTGGTTTGTGTGAAACTCAGTTTGAAATGTGTTAACAGGGGAATAGATATTGAGTACTTCAATGCATGGTGCATAGGTTCATTCGAGGTTTACGTATACAACACGTGTGTGTATGAATAGTATGTACGACTCGAATGTGTCCGAGACACTAGGCGTAACAAATAATGCCAAATTTTAATGTTTTAGGTTGATCTAAAGTGTCATGAATCAACTAACATGTAAATAAAATGGAAGAATTCTATTTTTCTCCTAGTATTTTTTTGCTTTTGTTTTTGGGGGAGGGGGGAAGAATGGAAGAAGTGACTTCGATTAAGCATTTCGGTAATAATTTTTTTTATTATCAGTCAATAACACAGCAGAACTTTCAAACTGATAACAATCTGCATTTATGATTTATCGCATCAACTGATAAATGACTAATAAGTGATTTTTTTATAAAGTTTAAATTCAAGCTTGATACAAGATTCATATTGATCAATCTATATTAATTTTGTTCGAGTTGGACGCGATTAATATCTAAGAAAACAATTTACATGTTGCACAAAACCAATTGGTGGCGGCTGGCGCTGACATTGTCTATGATGAGCTGACAAAAATGTCAGTAACCTACTTTAAGGAGACCATAACTGCTCCTCCCAAATCATCTCACAACACGTACATCGTACGCGCTAAACTTCACCCAAATGGTGATTTGATTTTCTATTCACCTTCCTTGATAAATTCCATATGAATAGAATGGGACATATATATATATATATATATATATATATATATATATATTGCAATCCTTTGTTTTTGAAACCATTTTCATATTATATTTATCTTTTAATAATCTTATATTATATGACTCTTTATGATATAAATATTGCAATCCTTTGTATTTGAAACCATTTTCATATTATATTTATCTTTTAATAATCTTATATTATATAACTCTTTATGGTCCTCTCTATCCCTACCTTATATTAGTCTTTTCTCTTTTTGGTTAGGAGCGGAATCAAAAATTTCTTACTCTTATTATTAACCTTTATCCCCCTAGTCACATTGCTAAACAGTTTTAGCAACCTACTTCCAGTAAATGAAGGCACAGGACTTGTTTTGTTTTTTTTAGCGCTAAACACTCCATTCTATACAATAATATAGTTGGTTTAACAATAGTTCTATACAACATTCTTTTATAAGTTGTGTTATTCTTTTACCATATAAAATTTTATTACCTTGTCTCCATTTTGTCCAATCCACTTCAAATTTATTTATTATATCTCTAATTATCTTTCCATAATTTTGTATTATCAAACTTAGATACTGAAATGATTAATTTGAATAAAATTATTTTTTTTTGATTTCGAAATGTTTTCGTTACATTATCAATGATTGTGACTTGAAAGCTGGGAAATTTTTTTCGATGGTAAATATATACATAGTTTTCTATAGTGATTTTGTTTAGAATAATTAATGTTGACCTTTCAAAATTTTCTAAAATTTTCATTTGCAGTTACCTATTTATGGTAATTGAAGGTACTTCTATGGTAATATTACTTGTGATCCTTTCAAAGACTTTAATATTGCTTTTAAAATTTCAAATTTAAAAAAAACAAAAAAAATGTTGTAATTCTTTGCGACAACATATTATTACTATGTTTATATATACATATAGATACACATACACGTACATAAATTATTTTTTATGATTTAGAAAGAGAAGAAAAAAATGATGGATAGTTGACAACTTCTTTGCTACAATTTAAGATATATTTAGGCTACCGTGAATTCAAGTTTAATTCTTTAAGCACTGTAACTTTATTTAGATATATTTAGGCTACCATGAATTTAAGATCCTAAAAAATTATATATCTTCCCCTACCACTAATCTAACATCATCTCCTTTTCAGTTCAAAACACATTTGAGTCTATCACCAAATTAAATTAGACATAACACAAAGAGATAATCAATTTTTTTTTATGGATGATACCTTAAATTTCAGCATCATGACAGAGCATGCTCGCTAATGTAGTCTTCCGGCCACATCCTCCGGGAGACGAAAGCACAACCACCTTTGCATCTTCTTCATTTAGATTTTTTTGCAACATGGTCCTCATTTCTTGAAGAGGGCACATTCCACCCAACAGTAAATTTTGGAGCTTCCGGAGCTCCACACGAACCTACAAACTCATTCAGCTGCATTCCATTCAATTTCTCGTCCATTTCATTCACTTTCACCAGATTCTTCTTGCTATATCTGGTCTGCACAACTTCCACACGAACCCACAACTTGCAATCCTTTCACAACAGCTTGTGGTTGGCCTCTGTTAGCCAACCCACCACCGGAATAATCATCGAACCCCGCCATCTTTGTCGCCGCTGCTCGTCGCCTGACAGATGACTATTGCAGCCGTTGTTCTTCAATTTTTTCACACCCAGTTCAGAGACGGCCTCTCCGGCACCGTTGCTCTCCGCCGCCGGTAACAACAGACCCACCTCTTATCGGTTCCAACTCGCCGACCAACTCTATGGTCCTCACACGCAATCAATCTCTGGTCCTTCGCTTCACCGGACATCGAGAAATCTCCATGGTCGCCGTTCTGAAACTCATCGAGAACATGGTCCTTCACTCCACTCTCTGGTCGTCCTAGGACGTCGCTTCCTTTGGCAGCTTCTTCTTCGACGCTGTCTTCTTCTCGGCCCATTTTAGAGAGAGAAAACGAGTGAAATTCTAGAGAGAGAAAGTGAGTGCTGGGAAAATTGAAGGAATAGGAGCCCGGTGGTAATATTGTCATTTCATAATTTGCTTATACATATCATAAATATATAATTTTGATGATTAAATAAAGTCACTTTTTTATACTTTAGAAAGAGGGTGGTTTTAGAGTAAAATTGATTGAGGTTTAAAACTTCAGGGTGCCAGAGCATTTAGTCCTCAAGAAAAAGTTTTTATTTTTTTTATTTTTGAAAAGTTAGAAAAAGTTTACAATGCTACTGTATTGGGATAATTTTATCGTTCGCTATTTTACTAGAGAGAGAAATTGTATATTGTATGATATATATATATATAGAGTGAATCAGGCTTGTAAGTTTTTTTAGCCAGAGAAAATGTGTATGGTATGAAATATGAATAATTAATGGTAAGGATAAAATTGTCTTTGTAATTAAATAAAAACAAACATGATATTTCATTATTAAGTTATTGACCAACATTAACCTTCGGGAAGGAGCACATGTTATGACCAAATTACTTTTTAAAGAGGTAGATGTAATTTTTAAAATGTTAAAAATATTATATATAATTAGATCTAACTTCAAAAGAGAAAATGATATTTTTCCTATCTTAGAACTATATACAGTATATCTATGAATTGTAAATCAATGTTTTGGACGCGCGTGGGATTTGTATACATACAAAATTGCTTCGACTGTGTCCTCGTGGGTGAGGTAACCCCACCTCACAGTCGGGTTACGTAGGTCCCATCGGTTCAACAAGGCATGGGTTCGAACCGGCTTCGGAAACAAAAACAAGCGTCTAGATGAAGCGAGGGTATAAAGAGGGCTTTTGCAATTGGGAAAGCTAGCTTTTTAATATTTTAATTACTTGAAAACGACTTTAGTACGTCGCTCGTGTACGAATCTACTTTGCAGACACATAATCGAACGGCTGATAGTGCAAGTTATAATCAGATTCAGATCAAACAGCTAGCATTTGGATTGACATAGACTTATGGTGTGCCGTAGCTACGCCATATAAAACCACAGGTGCCGTGGAAAGTAATGTAAACTAGGGGCTCCCTATCTCTCTCTTTTTACAAATCGACCACAACACCAAATTGATCAATCGATCAAAGAGAAACTGTGATAAGAGTTTTAGAGGGAGAAAGTAGAGAGAGAAAGTCTCAGATTTTGTGATAATCGTATTGACAATTGAGGTATGTATGGCAAATCCTAACTTCAAGCTGCTTTTTTCGTCTTTTGATTTTTTTTTTCTTTGTTTCTTTCTTTCTTTATGCGATTAATAATAGATCAGAGTGAACGGTGATGAAACATTGAAATATAGATTAGGATTGATTTTTAGCCGTTTGTTGGTACTTTTTAATTTTTATGGATCAAATGAGTAGTCAGACCTTTGTCAGAGAAATTATCAGTCATCCCATATGTGGATTCAAAAAGAAGTAATTGGTTCTGGTTTTGTTTGAAATTGAAAAGGCTTTTCTTGTCGTTGTTAGCATTCGAACTCAAATTAAAGATATAGGGGCAGTGATGTCTTTTCATTTCAAGTAACCTTGCTGTAGCTTGTAATTGATTCTCATTGCCACTATTACCCCAAAACTGTGATAGGTAAGAGAGAAAATTCCACCTGGAGATTGATAATTTGATTGCATGGAGGTTGGGGAGTTCAAATTTCCTCTTGACCCCCTCTTAGAGGAATTATTGAGGATTATATGGTAGGACAAGATTACATGATAGGATCAAAGTAAACGAATTCGAGAGCATAGTGTGATAGGATCTCGGTCACGGAAATAATAAGAATTTGACCGAGAATGAAGAATTGCATGACTTAATCCTAAATAAAATTGATACATTTACTTCGAATTGGGCATCTACCGTTGAAACGCGAGGAATTAGATTTGAAAAAACAAATTAGTCTCTCAACAAGTGCAATTGAGATAATAGCTCAAAAATTGGTCCTCCTTGAATAAATATATATATATATATATATATATATATATATATATATTATTTTTTTTATGCTTGTACTTTTTCTTTTTAGAAAATTAAATAATATTGCCTTTCAAAAGAGTCACCGAATTCACACGTGCAAATAGAGATGGCAAATTACCTTGCCATGCCCTCCTTTTAAAAAGATTTGATTATTTAGATTTAAAAACGACTGTTTTGTAGTAACTAGCGTGTGTGAATTATTTAACGGAAAAATTTTTACGGATTTTTATTTATTTATTTTATCATTGGAGATTACTTACCTTTGAAAGTGGAATATAATGATATTTTTCCGATAATTGTGGAGTGTTAATGTGCTTCTAAAGAGTTATTAGACATTTTACAAAAAATAAAGTTCAAATATAATTTTTTCAAATTTCTTTTTAATGAAAAAAATACAAGTGCAATTATACTAATGAAATTTATTTTTAAAAAACTTCCATAAGTGATCAATTTTATCCTGATAATTGGATTATCCTATATTAACATGACAGACTCGTTCCAGAATTGGATGGGAGTTTGGAAAGTGTGTCTTGTTTGGCAAGTTGAATTTTGTAAACGCGTCTAGTCTAAAGCCGTACATAGTCGGCTTTGTGGAAATAAGTGGAAAGACCTAGAAGTACTTGGAGGAGGGGTATATTAGTGAAAGTAGGAGTCCACCGTCATTATAAAGGACTTTGACCCCTATTATTATAAATAAACGCAAGCGTCACAGATTTTGGATTCAATTGTAGTACGCGTAAGACTCGAGTAATCTTCTGTCTGACTTGGTAAAACCCTAACCCTAGTTTTCTGAATTTGAAGGAAAAGAACGATAATGGGTTCTGAAGATAGCTGGAACAAGATTGACGATGGCACTAGTTTTCAACCATCGGAGCCGGCCCTATGCGCCAACGGCTGTGGCTTCTTCGGTAACGCAGCGACTATGAACCTCTGCTCCAAGTGTTTCAGAGACCTCCGCGTCGAGGAAGAGCAGGCGGCTTCGGCTAAAGCCGCCATGGACAAACTGGTGAATCAGACGGTGTTTTCAGGAGAGGTCCGTGTGGGGCCATCTTCGTCGACGGAATCTTCATCAGCAGCACAGTTGGTTGTGCCGGCTGTTGGCGTTGATCGTGAGACGGAGGCCCCGAAGGTGCCGTCGAACAGGTGCTGGAGCTGCAGGAAGAAGGTAGGGGTGTTGGGGTTCACGTGCAGGTGCGGGAGCACGTATTGTGGGACCCACAGGTACCCAGAGAAGCACGAATGCCCCTTCGATTATAAGGGTGCCGGACGAGAAGCCATTGCACAGGCTAATCCGGTGGTGAAGGCTGATAAGGTGCAAAGGATCTGAATTCTGAACCAAACCCAACCGGTTTAGATTTGAATTGTTTTTAGCCTTCCTTTCTTTCTTGTGTCTTGGATATTTATTTTGGTTGGAGTTGGATGAGAAAGTAATTTGCTCTTTTATTATGATGATGTGTTTATGTAGTGGGTTCTCTTGATTGAAAGTCGATACCATAATAAAGTGGAACAGCCCATTAATTGTTTGTCACTTTTGTTGTCTTGCTCTCATTTTATTTTCTTGGTTGGTTTCATTGTTTCAAGTCAAATTCCATGTTCAAAAAAAGAATGAATTTTTTTTTTTTCATAATATGGAAGGTCTTAAGGGGTTCACTTTTTTTTATAAATTCAGGAACACATATATAAAATGTCGATCTATTAATATTTAATTTTTTTATATTTACAAAAAAATATATATATAAAAAAATTATGTCACTGGCTTGGTGTAGAATTGCATGCCCTTATATGAGGGAGGAAGACAACACCTCTGATCCAATAAAAGATTGGGTTGAGTCATACAGGAAGTGGTTGAAGTACGAATTGGCAATGTAAATTAGGATTATCTAATATTCTTTAAGAAACAATATTGTATAATTTGGTATGATTTTCATCCATATTAAATAAAAACGATGAAGTACCACTTCACTTCCATCAGAAGAGAGCCATCCCTCAACTCCCCTGCAGCTCGTGTTTTTATTGTAACTTTCTGGATTTTAGGTTGAAAAATGTTTCATAAATATTTTAAGAATATAATTAAAATATAATTATTTTGATTCATATCCTCTTATGTATTAAGTTTTAAATTTGTTCACACATACATATGTATCTGAATAGTTCATGCATCAAGGAAGAAAATATTTTTAGATTTATTCACACTCACATTTGGTATTCTCAATGAATCTATTTGATTCACCTACCTAAAGTATTTAAGTTTAATGTATGAAAATTACAGAAATACAGTTTGACAAGTATGAAATACTACATTTTAAACAGGGACATGATTGGTAGGCTAAAGTTGAGCTTTGTTTATAGGCAAATTCCTCCCATTCAGCAGATAGAGAGTAGTCTCCCTCTGCCAAGTCTCAATCACTTCTTTTGGCTGACTGGTCTTGCACTTACTGCTGCTTCCTAGCTTTTTATCCCATTTTCTTTCTTTTATAATGGGCCTTTATGTATCAACCCAAAATCAAAGGAAACAGGACAATCAAACACAAAATAGAACAATCAAACAAGGCAGCATCAGAGAGCCACTGAGACCTTAAATCCGAGTCAGCACCCCACTGGCTGAGAAGGTGAGCCACAATATTACATTCTCTAGGACTAGGAGGAGCCCATGCAACAACACTAATGGAGGATCCTAACTGATCACAGGGGCAAAGCCTCATTCGGTATTCTAGTAGCTATTCTCTCTATTTGCAGTTTAATAAAACTCTCATTTGTAATCTAAATTTCTTTAAAATAAACCAATGAAGTCCATAATGAAGATCTTTCTATAGATAGTGGTGGTATCTACTCCTAGGCGCTCTGGTTGAATCATACCGACTTACTTCAACTTTGACTCCCCCAATATTGCTGTAGAAGACACCTACTCATTTTGCAAAAGCTAAAAAATGTGAAAACAGAGAGTTTTTTTTTGTGTCTGTATGTAACAATTACAGTAATTATTGTCAAGTGTCATGTATGTTTGTAAGACTAAAACAGCAGCGTTCCAATTCTGGCTTGATGCCTTCAAAGATTTGTTGAGCCTACCGTCACCAAGCACTCATCTACGTAAAGTCCAGACAAAGAAAAGAGGTGTCCACCTATGCACCCACCATTCAGAGAGAATCTAAAACAATTATTAGAAGCACCTTGGACAATAATTCCTATCTGCTCTCAAAAGAATCTTGTTCTTTCTTGTTGTTTTTCTTTCATCTTTGCTTTGACAATTTTGATACAGGGACATTTCATAAAGATATCAAACTTGGGTTTGAAGATACGAGTGGCACACAATGTCTGTGGGTCTCTTGTGATCTTTGTTTTCAAGAATGATATGATTGTAGTGGATCCTCAGCCAATTAATTCTCTTGTTTCTTTCTAGTTCTCAGTTTCTCGTCTCCCAAACATATTAACCCTGGCTTCATTGAGCTCTTGATGTCGTCAGTACACAAGCAAGCATGAAAAGAAAAGTGTAGCATATTCTCCATACAGCTTCTAATCTGAACGCAACAATTAATTAGTTCTTGGCAATTAAATTAACTGTGTATTCAACTTTTATTAAGAAATTAAATCAAGGATTTGAGTTTTGGATGTATATATAGAATCAGGAGCAATGAGTGATGGGTTATTTTGGGCTCATAAACTTGTCCCAATCTGATCAATTTTAATGTCTCGTCATTTTTGGGATATAATTAATGGTAGACATCAAACTTATGTGGAGTCACTGTATAAGCTTTATTCATATTAATTTATTGGGACACCTTCATCATGATTAATGTCTATTTGCATACATATCAACTTTTGACAAGTAGCATGATAAAATTTGGAATTGATTGATTCCAAAATATTCATTGTTTAGGGGATATAAAGAAGACAATGATAGAATTTAGGAATCAAAGGTGAAGTAAAAAGGAGAATGTTGATTGAAATTCCATTTCTTAACCATGAACACAGTTCTTTTAGGTTCTGTATAATGTATAAGGTATAAGTAGGCTTCAAATGAGAAACCATTTCTTTCTGTAACATGTAAAAGCAAGTATCAACCATTTTGATTTTTGTTGTGTACTTTTGACCAATACACATTTGTGAACCATGGTATGACCTGAAGCCAGGTTTTTTTATTTTTTGTTAAACAGGGTAGTATACATGCTCTTGTAAAAAAAAACATAGTGATACACTAGAATTATATGTAGTAAAAAAACATCTTGGTCCACATCTGATGCTAGACACTGTGCATTATTATTGTGATTTATTACAACGGTCAATGCTACTTATCGTGAAGTTGTTATTGACAATAACATTTGTGGTACACTAAATGATTTGTCAAATTCAATTATTGTAGATTACCCACAACTGGGCTTTCTATTACCCTAAGTTCCTTCTTTTTTTGAACCGCTCAGATCCTCAATGGCACCTCTCTCTCCATTACCACCAAGAATTGTCACTGGGAACCACTGCCACAACATGCATAAAGTAGTCTCCCCATTTTTTTTCATTTGGAAAGCGGAAATGATTGAATAAAGCAAACGCCCCTGTTACTCTTGGTAACAACAAATGCACAAAGGTTTGTGTGTGTATATTTTTTTGTATGCTCTTATATTGGTTGAGTTCCTTTAGACTTTATATAATGAATTTATGTTTTTGTCTATCAAAAAGAACAGGGGAACAAAGAAAGGAAGATAAGGCATGGGTTATGGATGGAGGTTGTATTATGGAAGTTATGAATGGATGAATGTCACTATTAACCTCTCTTGCAAATTTTTAGGTTTATATTTATTTAGCAAAATTTAACTTCACTGAGATTGAAGTATGATCATAATATGATCAATGTAAAGTACGTCTCTTCTTTTTTTCTTTTCAATGCATAATATGATCAATGTATAGTATGATCATATATATATATATATATATATATATATATATATATATATGATGGTAACCTTTATGTAGTAGTGTATCTCTCAAGTAAGATGTTCGAAGTGACTTTATGTCATCTCTGTTAGTCAAGTTTACCAGATGCTTTTGGTGATGTTCTGATATAATTGACAATATTCTGCCAAATATTCTATGTAGTTTATTCTCAGTACATTCCAATCAAAGTGGTATCATTAATTGTTATTCTTATCATGATTTGAATTAGTTGAAAATAGTTTCTGGAATTTAAGATTATGTTGCCTATTCATCATCAATGTTCTTATTCTTATCCATCAATCTTACACCATTTGCAATTAACCAGCATTCACTGTAGAATAGAAAATCGTCTTTGTAGGTTTAAATTCATTCAATCAAAATCAATTAATGCGTATAATATTAGATGAGCACTCAATGCTTTTTTATTCCCACGGAATCAAACTGATACGCCCAGCGACTTGGGTGCTATATATGTCACGACCTTGACTCCCTATCCTCATTACTTTCTTCTCCTTTAAAAAGGATCTCTATCTCTCTCACATGTCATTTCACATATATTTAATCATCTAACCATCATCAAATACACAAACAACACTCCACAAAAGAGGTACACAAAGCATACTTTTTTATAAATTAGGAACAATTGGAATATAATGTGTTCTTAGTAAGAAAAAAAAGGAAGGGGAAGATGACTGGTCCAAATTTTTACTAATAAATTTCAAAATAGAAGGTCGAGAGTTCAAATTTATGTAAGAACAAAGTGTAAGTGTGTTTCTTGTCTCAATATATATATATATATATATATAAAAGGGGATCAAGATCTTATTTGCTGCTAAACGAGAAAGGATGGGGTATAAAACAAAAACATGATGCCTAGTTATAAAAATGATGATGTGGCAAAATTTTTGATCATTGAACTGATGGTCGGAGATGTTTGCAGAAAAATATACTCAGAGATGATTCAAATCCATTGTTCTCACCCAATCAAAACTTTGAATTGTTTCCTCCAACCTGATTAAATTATTAGAACCGTCTATTCCACCTGGTTTTAATCCAAATAATACTTTTTAGTTAAAAATATAATTACTCTTAATAAATGTAAATGAGATTATGCTAAAAGTTGAAAAAAGAAAAAGAAAAAAAAACAATAGACAAAATCACTAGTTATTTTTAGAATTTAAAAGCAAAAGCATTCTTTTGGTAGAGTAGGTTGCCTCTTTTCATCTTTTTATAGCTGATAACATTGGAAACCCATATTAGGGCACTCAGAATTGAGAGGTTATGCAGGACCACAACATTACTGCCCATTTTTTTTATTTACAATTCCCTCCATTTTCAAGTATGTTAACCCTTCAGACCTTTATGATACCTTTCACATGACCCACCCACCAATCAAATTAGCCAAGATTTGGTATATGCAGAGAAAAAAAAAATTCAAAGAGAAACCATTATTCTTATTATTCCTTCTCTTTTTCTTTTGATCTTCTCCTTTTCTTCATTCCACATTATCAATTGGGACTCCGACACACTGACAAGTCTAAGATTCTGAAATTTATGAAGAAAACAAAACTCAAAAGGAGGAATTTGTGGGTTCTAAAAAATTGTAGAGCTGAACAATGAGCATCTTCAAAAGAGGGGTGATATTTGGACATTTATATGAAAGTGACTGATTCATGTCACGCAACATATACATAGATGTTTTGTTACTCCTCTTAACTCTCCCTTGTATGTTTTCCCCAAAACAAACATATACATAGGTTTTTCCCTCATGAAAGTGACTGTGCTTTCTTTCTCACTTTGGTTTGCAACATATACACAGGTGTAATCTTGAAAATTCTTACACCCATTTATTATTATAAAAATGATAAAATAAAACAAATATATAAATATATTAATAGCAATCCTTGGTGTGAATTCTGACCAAATTATCAATATTGACATAAATAGTGGTACGTGTGATGACACCTAACTAATCGAGTGTCTCACATAGCTGTAGATCTCACCACAACAATAGTGTCGTCAATTTTATATTATTCTCTCTATTTACATCTGCAGCATAAAACCAACTCAGTAACATTTTTGGGAGTCTCCACCAGAGAATTGTACAAAGCTCTTTTACTAAAAAAATCACACTATGATTGCACCTTTGCATTATCATCACGCACTACAGATCCACCACCAAATTCTCTCTTCCTTTATTGGCGGTTACAAAAGCCACCTTTTACTTCTCCCTCAAAAACAAACACCTCCTCACGAAACCCATGCACTCGCAACATTATTAATCTTGTCCGTTTCTCATCTTCCTATAAGAAGAGAAGAGAAGAAACTCACACCAATAAGTTGCAACTCAAAAAACAAAAAAAAAATGTCTGTAACAACTTCAAGATTGGAAGAGAACCCATTAGAGAACATGCCTCCTAAGCCACCCTCAACTCCAATTGTGGCACAGAAATGGCTTCTAGAGCTAAGAAGGCAAAGGGGGATAGCAATTCCTTTGATAGCCATGAATTTGACATGGTTTGCCAAGATCGCCATCACGACCATGTTTCTAGGCCGGCTTGGAGGGCTGCAATTGGCCGGTGGCACTCTAGGCTTCACCTTTGCGAATGTCACCGGCTTTTCAGTCTTGATTGGACTCTGTGGCGCCATGGAACCAATATGTGGTCAGGCTTATGGAGCCAAAAATTTTAGACTCCTTCACAAAACCCTTGTCATGTCAACCTTTTTGTTACTACTAACAACACTGCCTGTTTCTTTCTTGTGGCTTAATGTTGACAAGATCCTTATTCATTTTGGCCAACAAGAAGACATTTCAATGGTTGCAAAGAAATATCTTTTCTATCTTCTACCAGATTTGGTAGTCACTTCATTCCTATGTCCTCTCAAAGCCTATTTGAGCTCACAAAGGTTGACAATCCCTATCATGCTGAGCTCGGGAATCGCGGCCGTTCTCCACATACCCATCAACATCTTGCTCATGAAAGCCAAAGGTATCGAGGGGGTTTCGATGGCACTATGGATTTCTGATGCCATAGTTGTGATTCTCCTCATCTTGTATGTGTTGATATCGGAAAATAGCAAGGGAGGCAGGTGGAAGGAAGGAGGGTGGCGGGAACAAGGAGTTCCAGACTGGATCAGATTGCTCAAGCTTTGTGGCCCTTGTTGCCTCACCACCTGCCTCGAATGGTGGTGCATAGAGATCTTGGTCTTGCTAACAGGGCGGCTCACGAATGCCAAACAGGCTGTGGGAGTTTTAGCCATTGTGCTCAACTTCGACTACTTGCTCTACTCTCTTATGCTTTCACTAGCTACGTGTGCATCCATTCGCGTGTCGAATGAGCTGGGAGCAAACCAGGTTGGCTCTGCTTACGAGTCGGCGTATGTGTCTTTGGCTGTGAGCATGGTTTCAGGCTTCATCGGTGGCTTGGTGATGGTAGCAGCCAGAGGTCCTTGGGGTTATCTGTATAGCCATGACAAGGGGATTATAAGAGGGGTGAAGAAGATGATGCTGCTGATGGCTTTGGTGGAGGTGGTGAATTTCCCACTGGCGGTTTGTGGAGGAATAGTCCGCGGCACAGCCAGGCCTTGGTTGGCCATGTATGCCAATCTCAGCGGGTACTACTTGCTGGCTTTGCCTTTGGGTGTGATTTTAGCTTTCAAGATCCATCTCGGGCTCAGTGGACTGTTGACAGGGTTCTTGGTTGGAATGGTTGCTTGCTTAGTTCTGCTGCTGGTGTTTGTTGTAAGGATTGATTGGGTTGAAGAAGCTGCTAATGCACAAATACTTGCCAGTAGCGCGGAGGAGGTTGCTAAGGACGATGACGATCGTAATAACTCGGTAACAGGCGAGAGCACTGCAGTAATGAAAAGGATGACAAAATCAGAGCTGCACCCCAATGGTGTTGCATAACCAAAGTTCACTGGTGTAGCATCGCTGACATTACATGTTTTTGTGCCTGTGACATATGTAATTATGGGAGGGATTTTTTTTTACCACCAATCAATTATATCATACCAGCTCTTGATATATTGCTGCGATCAATTAAGCTCATTTCAAAATGTCAAATGTATTATATCTTGTCTGACTAAACAATGAAGCAACCTAGCAAAAAAGCCAGTAAGAACAACATTACAATGGAGAAGTCAGTTCCACCAATTGCCTTGAAAACAAGTACCACAGACTCCAGTGTTTCCGGTTTGTAAAACTGAAGATACTGTCATAAAACAAGAAATCAATTCTAACACATACACAACAGCTGCCGCTGACAACCTAAAGCAAATGCCAACTTCCATTTCCTGCGGAGATTTGTGTGGATGCACAAATTATACAACTTGCACTTCTCACAACTTAATCACAGCATTTGCGCTTCATTTCACTCGAGGAGTTACACCAATAAGGACACTAAAAACTGGAGAAGCTATTAATCCTCAACAAATCCAGCTTCAGAAATCAAAGATTTGAGCTCTTTGGCTTTCTCATCATTGAAGCCAAAGGAAGACATTATTTTGTGACCTGGCGATTCCTTTTCTGACCACACACCAAGAAGAAGATGAGTTGTCGTAATTTCCCCACCTTCACCTGCATTTCACATGTTAAAAAATAAGAGAATTTTTGTTTTTGGCACAGCAGTTAACAAAAATGACTCAAACAAAGAATCGTTTTTTTCCTTTTCAAAATTTTTCTGAACATCTTTTTGTTGATTTCTTGGGGAAGGGGAGGTTTGAATTTTGAATCACTTACTTTGGTGTAAACAGATGGGAAGTGGATACCATCCATGTATACCAGTAGTATATAAAAATTTCTTATGACCAACAGACCTGTGGCCTAGCGGTACCAAGCCCCTACTTCCCAAGGAGAGATTAGGGGTTCAAACCTCAGTGAAGGCATGTGTATGTGAGTTCCAACTAGGAGGAAAAAAAAAAAAAAAAATTTCTTGTGAAATGCAGAGCTCTCTAATAATGCAGAGCAATGGCAAAAAATTCTCCGAGAGTGGAGTGCTTGTACATATTTTACATTTTCAAGGAACTACTTTGACATGAAAAATATACTTTCAGAAGTTGAAGGGATGCATCAAACATCCCCATGCCACAAAATGTTGAAATAGTAACATAAAAAGTACCACAATCCCAATAAAAAAATTGAAATAACCAAAATGCAAAGGTAAATCAGAACAATCCCGAAAGAATAATGGATCCCCACTTTTATTTATTTATTATTTTAAACACAGGAAAGATTTAGCGTTATCTCAATGATTATTTTTTGCAAGTAAGAATATAATCATATTAAGTTGCCAAAGAGGATAATCCTTGTTCACAACTTATACAAAAGCCGAAAGCTAATATGAATCCCTACCCGCACCTCTGTGGGGGGGGGGGGGGGGGGGGGGGGGGGAGGACAGCTTCCAGAGAAAAATAGATCCCTTTAGAATTTACACAAATAAAAAAAATAAAAAAGTACTATTTCAAGAAAACCAAAATTTGGGTTGTTTATCATTTCTAGGGGTGAAGCCAATTTCCTCTCGAGTAATGTCGGACTGGAACCCTAAGTTTTGATAAAGAGTAGTGCAAGGCCCTTTATCTAGATCTAGAGGGGCAGTGAATAGGCCACGATAGGTTAATTAACGGATTTTAAATAAATTTTAAATTTAAACTAAATTAACAGTAATTTAATAAATCTAGTTAATCAGAAGGAACATAGATCATATTTTCCATCATTTTCATCAAGCATGTAAGATATAAAACGTAATAGAAAGCAATCACATACTGATTTGTATGTAATATAATCCAGGTAGATCAAATTAATATGAGAAAGAAGTACTATAACTAGTTAACAGTTTTTCAAAACCTAAAAATCACTAATTGCCTAGTGACATAGACTGATTGCAAACTCCCCACTTGGGTCTCCAGGTGTCCGTCTGCTCCGTCAACAGATTCGCTCCTCACAAAGATCTGCTTCTCCACAAGCACTTTGATCTCCTCAGTTAATCATCTAGGCCTCTTATGGTGTGAAACTACATGTTTGGTGCTGAATTCTTTGTAGGCTCACAAACAATAGATAGTCAACACCCGCAGCACATCCTCAACAAGGTAGACGCAATGATGAATATGAAAGAAACAAAAGTATGGCAAAGAATTACTAGAATGCACTCTCAAGTCACTATTAGTATTATGTCCCAGGTATGCTCAGAGAAAACGATAATATATTTGTTTTGTTTTTCCGAATACAAGAGGTCTTTGTATAGAGTTCAGAATCATAAAACAATTAAGATTTTAGGAGATTTTATTTAAAAATGAAACCGATTTCCGCATATCTCGATCCATCAATCCAAGTCTGGATTGACTAACACCAGGCCAGTGGTTTATGACCGATCCCTCGATAGATTAAGTGCCCTATCCTTCACCAGATAGGATTTTAATTTGAATCAGTTTCCAACTTTTCACACCTAATTTGTTTTCAACAATAGCATACCAATAACAACACAAATCGTGGGCTCATTGGGTGGGTAACTATGTATGCCATCAATGGACACCAAAAGCTGTTGGACACATATGCAAGCTTTCAGCACCATAATCCAACTGCACTACCTTCCATAATGAACTTCAACTCAAACTTCATGACCTAATCCATCCTTGCCAGAATTTCAAAAAATAATAAAAGAAATCAGGACAAGTAACTACAGGACAAACAATTCATTCCAACAGCTTCGGTGTCACAACAATTCACATGACTGGACCATAAGTACACAGACCAGCATAAACTATTTTTCTCCAGAACTAGAGCTAGTCATCTCAGCCAACCTGATTGAATTAGCAAATTTACGGGAACTCACCAGATTTCAGCTTCTCATCAACAGCCCAATCAAGGGCCCTTTGAGCTGCTTCAGTTAAAGGAGGATGCTCAGGACTGAAAAAGTACATGTCAGCTTTTCCAAGTAATTTGATAGCCTCTTCACGCACCTTGAAAAGTGTAATTCCATTTGCGCGCAAAAACTTTGAAGCCAGATTAGTTCCTGGCAACAAAACAAAAAGAAGGTAGAAGAGTAAGGATTGCTCTGATGCATAATTACCATAATCCGTAACATTTCAGAACAAGATTTGCTTCAATGCATAATTACCGCGTAATAAAAACATAAATGTGTCAGTAATCAGGGACTTAGCAGAACTTTCAAATATGAAAACAATTGCAGATCTTATTCAAAGAGTTAAAGACAACATTTTGATGTAAACATATCAAGTGTTATTAGTTTGATGCAGAAAGATGTCCATTGCTTCCTCCTGCTTGTTTGCTTAGGAATAAATCATAGAATTGATGAGAGAAATAGAATTGAAAATTTCAATGTAAATACTGTAGGAAATTGGCCTTGATAGAATTAACCATGGCAAGAAGTTTAGATCCATAACACTCGATATCTTTCCTTTTTTATTTTTTATTATTGTTTGCTGCTTTTGAGTTGAGAATCAATTGTAGAACAGTCCAAGTGTGGATATTTAGCACCTATTTCTGAATTTTTAAATCTTTTATTGCCATTGTTTATTTCTATACTTTTCAGAACCTAGAACCTACAGCTTTTAATTTTCCCTGGACGCAAAGCGGGTCTCATGTCTTGAATGATTTAAAGAGAAAAATTCAATTGCAGAGCATCATAACAACAAAGTGATACCAATGAAAACCTCAAAACTTCATCTTTGGCACCCATGATCCCGAACTCCACAATTCGTACTAGATTAAACACAGTGGTCAGCACTTACTAATCCGGTGAGGGTTCATTCTCATGACGAAAATAAGCACTAGCAATCGCTTTTCTCAAAGTGCCAAAGGGTAAGTTACTTTTCTATATTCTTCAATTTTGTGCATTTATCTTAAATAGTCCAAACAAAAATGTGCCATTTATATTTTCCCTTATTTAGGCCATTACCAAGCATGAGTCAATACACGTGTAAATATAGGGTGATTGCTGAGATGGAGCAAAAATAAATATATAACTAAATAAAAATAACCAATGAAATGGGGGAACAATACAAACCTTCAATCAAGATTCCCATGAGAAGAGCTTCAGTACCAGTAGTTGAGTACTTGAGCTTCCTTGCTTCTAATTCAGCCATAGCATATGACTTTATCGCCTTCGAAGACCATCTAAATTTCAGTCACCCAATTCAAATATCTCAATCCCGATAAAAAAAAAACTACACCAAATCAAACCAATTCAACATTATTATAAAATTCAATAGAATTATACAACCCTTCAACACAAAACTCACTTTGGAACTTCCTCAATAGTAGATACCCTCTCTGGTTTTCTGCAATAACAAATCACAAACTGAAAATTCCCAGATACAATCATACATATATATATACGCAAAAAATATATGGATATAGACATAAACATACGTAATTGGGAGGCTGAACAATACTTTGGCAGTGATGGGTCGACATATTGGCATCTGGGTTCTGAGATTGGAGGACTGAAGCGAGAGCTTGGCAGTGCCCAGCCATGGACTCGGAGACAGAGATGTAAAAGAAGGCTTGAGTGGAGTACAATCAGATTGTAAAGCTCGGGTTTGTGTTGTTTTAGAGAGAGAAAGTGTAGTAGTAGTAGTAGCGGCCATTCCCTGAGATAGCAGTGGCCGGGTGAGGAAAATTCAGGAGGCTTTGGATTAGGAGAGGAGGAGAAGAAAGGAGACATGTAAACGTCGCCGTTACCAGCTAGTTGAATGGGCTTTCTGTTGAATGGAGGTGGACCCATCCCAATGTGGAATTGGGTAAAAGCCCAAAAACCCCAATTCCAAGCGGAATGATGGAATTATATTGTTGTTGCTCATTGGGCTGTTCTAGACATATTTAGTAACCCCAATTCCAAGCCCAAGAGCCCCAATTCCAAAACATTCCTAATCTGAATTTCAAGCTCCTAAGAGGACTTGAACTCCTCGATCTTTTAATTTAAAGATGAAAAAATATGATTATGCTACAAGGCCCTTAATTTGAACTGTTTATTCGACAAGGCATATTGGAACTCCGAATGTGCCATTGTAGTGCTTTCCTCTGTTCAATAATAATCTGATTATAAGGTCATTGTGCACTATAACAGTAATTCAATTAAAAGAACTTACATGAATTATATTCATGATCATCCAGTAAGCTGCCATTATCATTAATACTTTGTTGTCAACTTACCATATGCATAAAAAAATTCAAGAAATCAAAGCATCACCCTCCCAATAATGAATATGTTCGACGTGACTCAACTTGAAGTGACCGAACCAAGTTGATTTGTACCCTCACCAATTCTTCCATTACAACATTTGATTTAGAATCATTATTCCAACTATGGTTTAAGGTCTTAGTGTAATGATAAAATCTCCGATTAAAAATGTACAACTATAAGTTCATGTATGAAAATAATTACTTTGTGCAAAATAATAACAAAGATTTAAATTTGCTTATGCCAATTATGCTAATATATATCTCACAATATCTGCTGTTTTGTACCAGGGCAAGAACAAATCACATGCCAATCGATGGTGCCCATTCGTTCTCATAGTACTATATTTATGTGTGGGTGTTTATTTGGTATTTAGTAAAATAAGCGAAAGCATATATCGTGGAGGGTGACGGGTCTCTTGAAACGGTCACTTTTGACATAAATTGCACGTCACAACTCGCATCATGGTGACCTCAGGAAAGATAACTACCTCCAGGTTTTGACTGCTTTGATGGATCGATATAGGCCTCCCACTCACCCCTTGAATGAGGCCAAACATGTTGCTTCATTCCTAATTATTCATGTAAACTAATATCTCAATATAAATATCTCGGTTAAAATCAAGAGCCGTGATAGGGACGGATTTACAAAAGGAGGAGGGGGGAAATTGCATTAAGTAGACTGATTTTTTTATTTTTTTATTTTTTTTTTCCGATTACATAACTTTGATAATTTTACCGTTCCCCCACTCCTAAAATTACTTTTGCCCTGTTTCTGTCAGTTGGTAGCTTTTGTTTCTACTATTCTTCATATTTGACAAATAATAATAATAATAATAATAAATAAATTATCCTTAATATATAGACACTTGTATATGAAATCATCAACTTTTGATACTCAACTATTCACATATTATGTAACCCGTTCATTTGTACGTGGCTTGAATTTAAAAAATGTTTTTAAGAAGAAAAAAAAATGTATTGACAAATTGCAAACCCGCTTTGATGGATCGATATAGGCCTCCCAATCACCCCATGAATGAGGCCAAACATGTTGCTTCATTCTTAATTATTCATGTAAACTAATATCTCAATACAAATATCTCGGTTAAAATCAAGAATCGTGATAGGGACGGACTTACAGAGGAAGGAGGGGGGAAATTGCATTAAGTAGATTGATTTTTTTGTTTTTTTATTTTTTTATTCCGATTACATAACTTTGATAATTTTACGGTTCCCCCTACTCCTAAAATTACTTTTGCCCTCTTTCTTTCATTTGGTAACTTTTGTTTCTATTATTCTTCATATTTGACAAATAATAATAATAATAAATAAATAAATAAATTATCCTTAATATATAGACACTCGTATATGAAATCATCAACTTTTGATACTGAACTATTCACATATTATGTAACCCGTTCATTTGAACGTGGCTTGAATTTAAAAAATGTTTTTAAGAAATAAAAAAAATGTATTGACAAATTGCAAACCCTAAAACCCTTTTCACAAGCATATAAATGTATGCACACACTGCTATTTGAATTTGGAAAAAAAAAAAAAAAAAAAAATCATATTGGCAAATTGAAAACCCAAAATTCTCTTCACGAGAATAAATGTATGCATATACTACGGTTTGAAAAATAAAAAAATAAAAAAAAACGTATTCGATATATTAGAGACGATTCCTCTTTGATCACAAACAACAACAACTCGATTAGGGTTTGTTTTAGCCTTTTCTTTTTTCCTTTTTTTTTTTTTTTAAAAAAAAAAAAAAAAAAAAAAGATGGCTCAATTAGGGTTCTATGAGGTGTCGGTCAACTGCTATAAAATCCTAAGGCATAATATTGATTTCGAAAATGATTCTTACACTAAATTGTTACAGTGAATTGTTACACCTACTATTTTAATTGGTCAATTATGCAACAAATAAGAAGTAAAACCCTCCATTCAAGTGTTCGGTGTGAGTATCACTACTCCTTTAATTTTGCAGGTTTAGTTATTGGTTTTTTTTTTTTTTTTTCTAATATATTTATTGTTTTTTTAATTAAATTTCCTTGGATATTTATATAATTTTATTTCATCCTTTAACTCGGTTGGTCAAATAGGGTAAGTTGCAATAAAACAAGAGGTTATTTGTTGTCCCAAAAAAAAACGAGAGGGCGTAAAACTAGAGTGGAGTTTAATACACTAAAACCTAAAAACAATTCCAACCACATCAGGGTGCCTTGTGATGTACACAACTTTTTAGTTTAATGCTATCATTGTGTTTCAAATAATTTTGGTAGTTACGAATTAAGTACCGCGATGCTTTAACAACCAAAATTGATGGATCATACAATTGATTTCTTTAATGATTGTTGTATCTGTTTGTGTTGGTTTTGCAGAGATATTATGTTTGATAATCACACATGCATTTTGTGAAATTGTGATCCACATCTTGCTTACAAGTCAGGACTTTTCAATTTAAAATTCAAATCCTGTGAGTTTTTATTGTGCATTTTGAATAATCATTAATATCAAGCATTCATACAATTATCAAAGACCACCTAAGTCTCCAAGATATTCCGATCGAACACATTTGTTGATCAAAATTGTAAATAAAAGAAAATCCTGAATTTTAACAGAATTAAGTGGTTGGTATTATTTACCGAAAAAAAAAAAAAAAAAAATGTGGTCAGTGTCGGCACGAGTGACACATGCAATATATATAGCTCAAGGATGGATCACAAGAAATGTGCTATTCAGAAACTCAGAAATGAATGTCCCACCTCTTCATTTGCTCTAATGGATGTATAGTTAGGTGGCCCGCGACATATGGTAATCTATGTCACGTGAAAGAATACACATTTAAGGAGTATGGATTATTAGTTTCAGTTGTTGCATGTGACCTATATAGCCTATGCTCTATTTGTTATAAATAGGTACCCACTTGGAATTCTTGATTAAATGATCCATTTATTCTTCACCAGATAAATAATGTCTTTGCACTTTTATTAATATTGTAGGAATTTACAGCATTTAGTTTTTATTACAATTTAAGGCTTTGGTTAATTAAGATATTTTAATATGTGTGTGTGTGTGTGTGTTTAGGAGAGTTAAATCGAACAGTATTATATAAATGAAGGGTACTGTAATATATCAGGGGTAGGTGTGAATTATAATAGGAACAACTTCAATGAGAGAAGAAAAAAAAAGAAAAGGATGAGAATTGGAATTTAATTACCAATTTACGATATAAAACTTGCTTGGCAAAGTAATTAGATTCTTTTATATTTTTAGTTTTAATTCTTGATTCAATTGAATGTATATATATATATTTATACTATACTCCTGATATAAAGTAATGTATACGAACAAAAATGATATTCACATTTCATATTTTTTTTCATTTGCACATTACTTAATTTTTTTACTAAATGAACTGGCAAAATTATCCCTTAAAATTGAGTACTTTTCTAAAATACGTGAGTCTAAAATAAGGAGTCATTGTGAGTAGGAGTGTATTTTTGAAAAGTAATTAAAGAAGAAAAAATAGAGCAAAATTCATTTACATTTTTCTATTTAATAAAGATGAGTAATTCTATAACTGTGACGCTTTTCAAATACTTGCTGATATGAGTTTGATACTATCCCAATGTATTCATAATTTGAAATTAAAAAATAAATAAATAAATAATACTTTGATCATGTCAAATACTTCATGACACATTAAAAAAAATTTAAATATTAAAGTGTAAGCTTTTAAGTATAATACCATAGTATCTTTTTCAGAAAAAACTTTGAAAAAAAAAATCAAAAAATCAAAAAATAAGTATTGAAATATGCAGACGTTGCTAATTTATTTAATATTTACGGCCATGCAATATTATTCTCTGCTCGTTTGTCTTCGTTTTCCGGAAGTTTACTCAACTTGCTTCTTCTTCTTTTTTCCTTTGGTAAATAGCTTTTTCTTTTGATAAATGAAAAATAATAATAATTTTAACTTTATACATAGATACATATAAGACTTAATTTAAATCTTTACACTAATATATATATATATAATCGTATCATATTGTGTGAATATCTTGTAATCTGGGGCCACATTGCTTTGCAAACTTATGTTCTTACTTTGACACGCAACGGTGACACTCTGTTTTCGTGAGCCATTAACACAGAGTTTGAGTGTAAACATGGTGAAATACTAAACTAAGTATAGATATACTCTTTCATATGCCCATCAACTATGCACTATCTTCGACTGTAGTGGACTTAATTGGCTAATAGAGTCAGTCATCAAGACATGTCTATTAGTGGTATGTTTGTCGAAATGCGCATTTTGAAGCCTAACTTTGCAAGCCAATCCACGTACCCCACCCACATTCATCTACTTTACTTTCTACTCACGTTTACTTGACCCTCAAGTCGAAATACCAGCCGTCTGATTTGTTCACATCAGATGATGTGTCACATCGCCATTTCAACTAATGGGACCCA